GAGAATTACAGCTGCTGCACTAATCAATTTCAGGCCCTCTTGTGACCTGCCAGCAAATGATTTAGAAATAAAAAGCTGACGTAAGAGCTGACAAGGAACACTGTAAATCATTGGCTCATTGCGCAAATCTGTAGCCTGTTGCACTTGTGGAATCATGGGTAGAGAGATACATCAAAAAGCCAATAATGTGTTGAGTGCATCCATTCACAATACAATTTTACATTTATAAAGTGCCTTTCACATTAGGAGCTGGACAGTCGAAGGGCTGTAACAAATTTATATTTGGTGGAACATTCCTTTATATTTGATTTTCATTAAGTCACTCAATTAACTTGTTCAACTACTAAAACGTTATACTCTGGTTTATGACATTAACTGATAATGCCAAAATAATCGTGATATCGTTATAAATCTGAGGTATCCCATCATTTGCTCCATAATCATAATCTCAAACACACCAGTCTGTTCAGTGTAAAACATAGCTACCCAAAAAAGATTCATTGTAAATATTTCCCTTTTAAACTACATACTGTAAAGCACATCCTAGTGAAATAATATTGTAACGCAAAATAATTTTTTGTCAGGGACTCAAACTCTGTAATTTGATATTGTGACAGGAGTTTCCTCCTTTGGATTGAGAATGCAATGGTATAAATGGGCTGCATGACATTTTATTTACTTTTTGACAATAGAATAAAACTAAATTCTAGCAAACATTATTCAACCAATTACCTTCTACAAAGCTGTGTCGTACTATTTAAATTTGTGAATTGCAGAACACAAGCGTGCAAATACAATAAGACATTATATAGGCAATAAATTGCATAAATTTACCAGCAATTGGCCTATATCACGTTGCCCGCATGATAGATGATGTGCTGGGTGGGAAGCAATTGAAAAAGAAAAATCTTACAATTTTGACACTTCTAACATAAGATGTTTCCACATTATGGCTCAGGTCGTACCAAATGCTGTTAAGAAATGTGGAATCTTTACACAATCAGATGGTATGAACAGAATAAAAATTCCAATGGGAAATACTTCATGGAAATTTATCACAGCTCCACGCAAATTACAGAATTTTAAAAATCCTGCCTTTTTTCAACATTGCCCAGGAATGAGAGCACAGATTTTGAGCTCAAAACCTGAAGCTGGTCTCAAAATTACGGCCTAAAGACCACAGTGCTATTACCCTGAGTAGACTGATACTGCAGCCAGTGCAATTTGATTCGACCTCCACTCAAAATGTGCACTTTAGAAATCCCACAAATTTAAGGCACCATTTTCATCAATACAAAAGTGGTCATGCAACCCACAACAATTTTTTTTAAAAAAGTAACCGTTTCTACTGCTGGAAGCAATAACAAATCACTTCCAGCAGAATAAACTAGTCATTAGTGATAATAAATAATAATAATAATCCTTGCATTTGATATAGCGCTTTTCACGTCTTCTAGACGTCTCTCTATCCCATATATAATATATATGTAGCTCCATCCCGCAGTCCCTCCGTCTCACCCCCTCTTCGTCCGTGCTTCGATCTCCCCGCTTCCCCGACACTCAATTCCGGTCTGAAACTCTGTCTGTTCAGGTCTTGTGACGTCCTTCCAACGTGAAAGGCGCTATACAAATGTAATTTTGTTGTTATTGTTTTCTCAAAGCGCTTCACAAAATATATAGAATGATGAACAAACTGGATATTTTTCTGATATGAATGGGTTGATTGTGTGTTTGATGCGTTCTTAAATCATTCAGGAGAAGAGGCCAACTTTTGAATTATTGCAACAACAAACACTGGCGAATATGCTGGCTGGTTTGAAATTAAATTTACTGGGACAGTGTGTAAACATCAATATTCCTTGTTCATTGATGCGTCAGTTTTCCTGGAAACTGAAGTTGATATTTTAGCATGTTTGCATTGCTGCCTTACCTTCAACCCTTTTAATTATATTTAAAAAATCATATGGATTTTCAACATCTGATTGTACAGTTTAAATCCATATAACTAAATACAGTTTACTTCTTAGCTTCCCTGAATAAAACCACTGTAATTGTTATTTGGTACTCTTCGTTTATTTGGTGTAGCAAAGTACAGAGCTATTTGCAAAATTCACACAAGAAAAGCCATGTAAATGTTTGGTTCATTTCCATTCCATGACATGGAGCATTCCCACTAGAGACAGACCATATTGTTTGCTGTATGCTATTGCAGGTGTGATTGGGATCATATTCCTGTTGAATAGTGAAGGATTTGGCTGCTATACTGTTATGCATTATGATGTAGTTTGTTCCCCCATGGCATATTTATATGTGCTAATTAATCCAACACATATAGGCAGAGGCTATCCTTTTAACCAATAGCCTATACCCATCATTTTTACAGTTTCAAGCTGTGTACAATATTTGGCTCCAAAGATGAGGAAATGAAATGGATTCATCTATGAAATTAGCTGGGAAAGGACAGTATAATGTACTTATTATGAACAATGTTATTTTTGATTGAAAGTATGTTATGAACAGGAAAACTGTAGAAAATAAAAATCTCTCACCAAGCTCCCTAGCTCAGTTAATTCTCCAAACTCAACAAGAACAGGGCTGTCTAAAATTTACTCCACAAGCATCTATCAAGCTTTGCGAGTGTTGAAATTCAATCCTTGCTAAATTAGAACATTAACTAGTTTAAGTTGCCTTGCAGCTTCCAAGCCATCTGAAAGCCTACACTGTTTACAAGTTATCTTTTTCCCCAATTGCTCAAATATTGTACAGTACTTGAAATTATTTCATATTTTGTTATTTCTTGCACCTTATATACATATTCATTTAGCAAATATGTTTGATAATTACTTTTGAAGCTATTATGCCCCTCTCAATTCTGTTTTGTTTAAAGAACAGAAGTTCTCAGCACAAGTAGTTTCATGGATTGGGGGGGAGGGGAGAAGAGAAAATAATCACAATGTAAGAAATGATTATACACTATTGAAGTCTTGGCTAAGTTTCCTTTGACAGGTGGACATTTGCTTGGGACATACAGGAGGTAAAGCTCTTTCCCAGAAAGGCTAATGGGATATTAGTTAACTTCATGTATGGATATAAACACAAAGAAATCAATTCCCTCAACGTCACAAACAAGGAGGGCTTCAGTGGAGGATGCAAACTTACTTTGAATAAGAAGAAATGCAGGAGGGAAAGATTGACACGAAAGTAACGCTCTAAATAATTACAAAAAGGACAAAAGCCTGAAGCATTATTTTATTCTGCATAGTACTAAAGAATTAATCCTGTTGAAATATTAATGGAGAAGAATCTTTGTTACAGAATTTAATCCCATGTTTATAATACATGCTAAAAAAGAGGGTTGCATGCACAAACTGCAATAATTTCTTCTTCCTTTGGGCTTCATGAATAATTCCCAGATTTGCTCTGGAACATTTTAGTGCAACTGATAAGACATTTCCACCAGCTGTCAATGACCACTATTGCATCTTTTCTGTCTGAATATTTCTCTGCCATAATGGCTAACGTCTGATATAAATAATGATGGGAACAGTGTGACCAGATTTTATAACACAGTAAAACGGGCTAATCACTACCGGAGACATAGGTGTTAAAAGACCAATATACAACAACCATAAAAGGAATGAGAACTTTTTCTTTGATGGTTGCAGAGCAACTCTTAGCAATGAGGCCTTCCTGCAAGAAGAATTCCAGAGAGACTATCTGGATATTTCCCCATACAGGAAACAGAAAAATGCATGGAAAAGCGTCAATGGTCATTCAGAAATGAGAACCATATTTTCTATTAGCCTTTTAAAGCAGGGTTAATAAATTTACACCTATTGACAATCATTTCCAGATGGTCATTTGTCTGTACTAATTTTTTAAAACTACACTACTTACTCTGATCAAACAGTTAGAAGTACAATAGTGAATGAAAGGAAGGGGACACGATTTTCTACGTATAATCCACAAAGACAAAGAACAATAGAATCTATAAAATATTAATTTCCCATTAGAGGTTAATTTTTTTAAATAATTACATGTTACGATGGGTTAATTTTTCTGAATAATTAAATCACGTTTCCTGAGTGAACGGTTTGTAGTGAAATTAGTACAGGTTTTTTGACGCTAGATGGCTCAGTACAAGTTACTTGCAAGTGACTCGTGAATAGTCATATCAATTGTGAAGTGATTTCTTCTGTCGTACTATATAAAGTTACAACATGCCGAGAACATAAAGTAAATATATTACACTGAATAATAGACAAATAGAACAGTAGAAAATAGTTAATGCTTAAAACTGATACACCTGAAACAAAAATATACAAACTGCAAAGAGGCAATGCAGTATGTATAATATAAAGTTACTGAATAATAATCCTTGCATTTGATATAGCACTTTATCGCACCTCATCTTCGAGACGTCTCAAAGCGCTTCACAGAATATACTGTAAAGTAAATTGACTATATATTTTGTGGCCGAAACGTACCCAAATCTAATCCCGTGGACCCAAAACGTTGACTCACTTTCCTTTCTCCATAGATGCTGCCTGACCTGAGTGTTCCCAGCGACTTCTGTTTTTGTTTCTAATCCTTTTCTGTTTGTTTTATTTGCCCAAACAATTCCAACACCAACAATTTGCATTTCATAGCCCTTGAGATAATTATAATAATTATGTTTCGTAGTGAAAGACTCCTACTGCAGGAGTATAATCGCAAACGAGTTAGAATTGTGGTGGAAAGAAAAAGTGAATGCTGAAAAACTGATGCAGGGTGTGACCTGAAACATTGAAAGTTGCTTTCACCTTCAGATAACTGCACATTATTTTCTTAAACAAATTAAAACCACAAAGTTCTAACTGGTCACATGGAAGGAAATTACTATAACTTTTACTCAAGCAAATATATAATCTGGCATAAGAATGAGTAATTAAAGCTGGACATTTAAGAAGGCATGACCCACTCTGATGAAGGAACGATAAGCATTGATTCATGTTACTTACTGGCACGCATGGGAAAGCTGTTGAGCAATCCCATATGCTATTGGGTCTCTGTCTAAGGCAAATACGGTGATGCCCGAGGCGTGCGAAAGGATCATTTTTGTGTGGCCTCCTGCTCCAAAAGTCATATCCAGAAAGGTCTGAAACAAAAATGGAAACAAATTCTTGGTACAGCAATAACATTTTTTCAAAGAAACAGTACCTAAAGTACTGTGCTATACACAAGGAAATCTAAAATAAAAACACACTGAATAGAACAATTTAAAATAATAACACTTGTATTTGATAAAGGGTCTATAATGTCAAAACATCTCGAAGCAGTTCACAGCGAATTTCTGTAAAATGCAGTAACTATGTATTTGTAGACAAACCTGGCAGCCTATTTCCACACAGCAATGTCCTACAGCTACAAAATAAATCACCAATTTGATCTGAAGGATTGATGGCCAGAACACTGGGTGAAACTCTGTTCTCTTTTCTAACAGTGTTATGGGATCCTTAGCATCCACCTAAGCAGACAGACAGCTTAACGTATTTTTTTGAAGTTGTATCTGAAAGAAGAAAGGATCGCATATCAAACAATGCATCACTCCCTGGTATTGCATTGGAATATATTAAATGCCCTGAATACTAAAATACTTTAGAATACACTGAATTCAATATATACTCTATGCACTATTCTTCAGCTTAAAATCATAAGATAATACTTGAAATTGTTTCCTCCAGGAAAAATGTTCAACCACATTCACACTGACACAATTTTCACACGACGCTCATCTTGTTGAAGCTACTAGTAACATGAAAAACATTAAAGGATACAAATATATTGAAAATATCAACAGAACTACCAATTATCTGCAAGTTATTTTTGCTGAAGATACTGACTTCCAGGAATGATTCTGTTGAAACAAAGTTTGGTTTCTAACTGCCAAACACATCTAGCACTTATCTTCCTCTGAGTCACTGGCTTCTGTGACCACCAATATTTGGATAAACTAATTTATAATAATGCTTGCATTTGATATAGCGCCTTATCACGCAGTTGAGATGTCTCAAAGAGTTTCTTTTTCAGATACAACTTCAGAAAATATACACAATATATCATACAAGACTAAAAAAAGACTGACTAGTAATTCAATCTGGAAGTTCGAGCGACATTCAAAAAACATGAAAGAGAAGCTGGAGTGGCTTACAATTGTTTGGTCTCCTTTGATAGAATTACTGCTTTGTAACTTGCTCCCGGGTATCTGTTATTTGATATGTAATAGTGTGATAATTTGATTCTTGGTTCACTATTTCTTAGAGAAAATAATTTATCGGGGCGCAATATTTATTACAGACAAACCTAACGTATTAAATTTCCACTGCAGTATTTGTTGATTATTACATTTCTTGATTAGAACTCTTATCCAGTGAAACTCAAGTGAGAGAGAGCGGATTCATAACTATAAAGAGAATTCTTTCTTGAATTTGTGTTCTAGCATAGTAGGTTTAACAGGTATAACATGGGCGGTTAGCTTGAGAGTCGCACAGCAACAAATGAAGTCAAGGAATGAGTGAAGCCCAACTTTATACATGCATTGATGGCATATAGTGTGTGGTTTACATTGTCCTTCCTGCAAGTTTGAAATCACATCCCCAATCATACATAATAATAATCATAAATTAATGTGGAAATTCAATTATTTCAGGAAATTAGATCACAGGACACCAATAAGTATAACAACCTTTTAAGTATACAGTATGTCTTTGACTTAAGCTTACTTATTTATCAGTTTTCATGTTACAAATCATGTTTTATCAACAATGCACTTCAATGAAACAAAAAGATTACTCACATCACAAATATTCAAGTGGCAGGAAGAAAACACTGTAACTGTGCTTATGAAGTTTGTAGAAGTGAATTTTAATAGCTACAAATATTATTAAACAAATTAAATTGTTATTTCTTAAAAGCAACAAATGTATGCTAAGATCTATTTTGAAATTTATCTCCCACCCCACACTCCCTCAGTCCATCAGAACTAAAATAAACACTGCATTCTTAGATGCTTAACAGGTGAGTGAATACATGTATTGTATTGCACATTATACTGTTGTACACTTTATCCATAATTAATTGAGTAATGTGCTTAGAATTCTTTTAAATGTCCATCTCTCCTCTCAATTAGACTTGTGGCTAAAAATATTTTTACCATGTTTTAATCAGTTAGAATACAAGTGTATTAAAAGTAAGCCAAATCACTTACAGATTTTAAATTTGACACTCCCTGCATAATGGAAGGGGTAGGTTTGTAGCAGCTGCTGAACATCAGGCAAATTTGCGTCAGACATTTTTTCCCCTATTTCAGTAACCCAACAGAAGAGCTTCAGCTCCAGCATCTCAATGTAAGCGGATGGCAAGCGCAGAATTCTTGAAGGCGAATGTAGGGGAGCAATAATTAATACAAAAGAATACTGAAAGGTAGCTGTTTAAAAACGCATAAGGTTATTGTAACTGAAAAGTAAACCTCTTGATTGTATATATGGCCATTTTACTATAGCAAGCCACAATTAAATTAAACGATACTGTGCATTTTTGCAACAGTTTTACCACCCCGCCTCCAATACATTTGACATGCTTCAATATAGTTTGTATTTTATTAAATAAATCAGAAGCAGTAACCACAGTGAATAAAAGCCATTTATATTTTACAGTCAAGTTTATTACAGATATTTATTCCTGATCAGTTGCATTCAGTGTTCAGGTCATAGTGTTTAAGCTGCAAGATCATATTATGACAATGGAGAATCCATTAGAAAGCAAGGACTAAATAGAATATATGATCACATCTTTTCTGCAAGTCTTTGTTCTGTACCTGAAGTTCACTGTCATAATCAGTTTACATCATTATAATTCATGTCATTTTGTAATAAAGTAGCAGCAGTTATAAATCTTACCATCCATTTTGGTAGGGTGAATTTGCATAATGAGAAGGCATTTATATTATTTATTGCAAAATCATAACTGGGTAGTTGAATTGATACACTACAGCTTTTCCAAGGAAATTTACACAGTCCAAGTAAAGTTTTTTCCACTCAATTGCATCGCTTTGGACGCTGCAATAAATGAACAACAGTGGAGAAAGGTAGTATAGAGAATGCTGACCATTGCAAGACTTAAGACACACTCCAATTCTCCCCTTTCAATTATATTTAGGTTAAGCTTCAGGGCTATAGCATTCGCTGTATGATATCAAAATACTATAATGCCAATTAAATCTAGTTCAAATAGTGTTATGGGATCTTCATCTGAACAAGCAGACATTGGAAGAACAGCACCTCCAAGTCCCAACATGGGGCTTGAACCCATAACCTTCAGAGGTGAGAGGGCTACCAACTGAGCGAAGCTGACACACTTACACTGTGAGTATGTTCCAAATGGCACCAGATGGTTCCTTTTCAGAATCAATGTGGATACAGTATGAGGGGGTTAGTCTTTGAATATTTTTTGTTCTCTCATAGCATTTTCCAAACGAAGTTGAGTTTTAGCAACTAACTTAAATATTGACGCCATATTGCATGCTCCAATTTACTGGAAGCCTATAGTCAGGAATTATTTTCAGGCACCAACTTGTAACTTTAGAAACTTTAGGTTTTTTGGTGGCAAATTAAAAGCGAACCTTAGACCTGAACTCAATCCTGATTCAAATAAAATGCAACATTTATCAAAATCACCAGTCTTTGAAAAGTCACTACCATTAGGCAACTGTTATAGATGTTTTCCAATCTGAAGTCTGTCGAAATATATAGAATTACAATGATAGAACAACAACTTACATTTATATAGCGACCTTCGCGTAAAACAACATCTCGGATTGCTTTACAAAGCAAGCCAAATGCCAAACCAGGGAGAGACAGAGGGGTTGAGTAAGGGAGTTCCAGGGGACAGGGGTGTAAAATTGAAAGGTTTGGCCACCAATGGTAGAGCCGGGGACGTGCATCAAGCCTGCATTTTACTGCAAAGTGTAGTGACTGTGTATTTGTAAACTAACAGATAAACTCCAATTTCAATGTGGAAATCAAACTGGTTGCCAGGTTGTACTATATTACTTCACACACAAAACAGTTACAAAATAAATAAATGTACACACCTTTCAGTGTATTTGTATTATTTGGGTTTGGAATAAAAGTACATTTGCCAATGCTTTGTACTATTTTCAAGTACATAGTCTTGTATACATGTGTTCTGAGATGTCCAGTCAGTTAAGATAAATGACCTTCCATTGAACGCAGGCAAAGTCTTTTACTAAACATTAAAATTTCACATGATTTCAATATCAAAAATAAATCTGGAAAAACATAAAGCTGCTTAGCTTGCCAATACAAATCATAAACTGCCTGGTAATGAGAAAACATTACATCATTCACTTCAAAACTACAGCCTAGAATACAGAGAACAGTGGATGGTCAGGGTGAATTATAGAGATGCATGGAGCACCAAGTTGGGCTGGAGCCAATATGTTAACCTAAGTACTGTACAAATGTGCAAGCCTCAAATGAACAAGAGGCCTTTACACATCTGTAAATCATCCCCTGGCCATCTGTTACATTGTTCAATTATATATATATTCATTAGATATAAAAAAAACTTTACTCTCAATTGCTTGATAAAAATATTGCCAGCAGTGTTGGATGAAGTGACTATGCAGATGTGAAGAAGCGGTCAGTAGTGAAAAGCAATGAGCCTTGTAAAACTGAAGATGCAAAAGAAAATTGGGTGACTGAAAGTTTTTTTGGGGGAAAAAGCACCTGATATACACAAGTTAATTATTCACAGAAAACATTTTTCAGAAAGTACAGGTGGATTAAGTAATTGATTGTATTCAGTGCACCATAAAGAAAGCCAGCATCACAATGCCTTAGCAGCCAACGTGGATATAACATGGGAGTTTTTAAGAACTTCAATTACAGCATGGAAGGGAATATTTCTGATGACTAATGTGTGCGTAGGCAGAAAGTCTTAATTTACCACATTGTCCAGAAGTAAGGAAGAAATCAAATTGGGTCAATTTAGTACAGCAGTAATCCTCACCATCAGTGGTGTGTTGTAAAGTTTATTGGTGCTCTAAGAGTTCAATCATTGTTTAATTAGGAAATA